AGTTATAACTCTTAATTTTAATTATAATTATATATATAATAATTTTCTGGTATTTTATTATTAATTTTATTTTTTATAAACTAGAATATATAAAAGAAAGTTTCTCTATTCACGACGTGTTACTATTTCTATACTTTTAATTTCGCTTAAAATATTTACTATTTTTGAATTTTTTTTCTTTTTTTTCATTTTATTTAATGTTTTATGATCTTTTCAAGAATCTACTGACATAATAATTGGTTTTTAAAATATGAAAATGAAGAACTTTATTTCTTAATGAATTTGATTTGGTGTTTTATGAATTTACTAACATAATATGTGAGACCCCGCAGCTCTTCATTTCTCTTTCTCATCTCCCTCACTTGTTTTCTCTCATACTCTCTCTCAATCATCTCTTCTGATTTTGGATCTCCTTTTCTCTTCTACAAGCTGAAGCATTGAGCAACTAGGAGGGTTTTCTCTCAAGCATGAAGCCGTGCGGAGCTCTCTCTTCTTTTTCTTCCGTTCTTCTCTTCCCGGAGCTCGAAATTCTTCACCGAGGTAAGGGAAGCTAGGTTTTTGCTGGATTGGGAGGAAATGAGTTTAGAAACTCATGCGTGGATTGATGTTGGATGATTGTTGGTTGAGTTTGAAGAAAATTTCGTTTTCGGGGTTTCGGGGTTTTGGGTGAAAATTTGGGATTTTCCTTGTTTGATGGTTGCATGCTGAAAATGATGTGGTTTTCATGTTGTTGGCTGAAAATGTGGAGTTTTGGATGGTTTACATGTGGATTTGCTGGTTGTTTGTGTAGGTTATGAAGGGAATTTTCGAACTTGGAGGGTTGCTGCTTGGTATCACGCCAGGCGCAGTTCTTGGTGCCGGGCGCGTGACCATCAGAGGACTCTATTGGGCAAGCCCGCCAGGCGTAAGGTTGTGTGCGCCAGGCGAGCTTGAGAATGAGAGCCTCTGGATGGCCCACGCCGGGTGTGGTTGGACCGCGCTGGGCGCGATATCAGTAAGTAACTAGTTTTTTTTTGGGTTTCTGGTGTTGCGCCGAGCGTGACTTCGTCTCGCCGGGCGTGGAGACTCCTTGGGAGTCTCTGCCAGGGGTGGCGCCGGGCGCAATTAGTATGGCGCCGGGCGCAATTAGTATTGCGCCGGGAGTGAGACCTTGGGGAGGTCTCTGCCTTCCCTGCGCTGAGCGCGGGTTTGGCACGTCGAGCTTGTGAGGCTCCTTGGAGTCTCTGCCTCCTAGCATGCCGGGCGCAATTGGAATTGCGCCGGGCGTGTTTGAGCCTTGGAGTTCTCTGGTTGGGCCACGCCGGGCGCAACCATGAGTGCGTCGGACGCGAATGTGTGTTTCTTTAATATTCTGATAGATGCTGATATATGTTGATGGTTGCTGAGTTAAGCTGTTATTGATGAATGTTGCTAAGTTGATTAATGATATTGCTGTGCTGTGAGATGTTTATGCTGAATTATGATGTTTAAGCTGTGCTGTATAAAGTTGAGCTGTGTTGTATGCTGTTAATGCTGTTATGTTGTGTTGTGCTGCATGCTGATATAAACTGTTGTAGGCCGTAAGGTTGAGCTGTTGTAGGATGTAAGGTTGAGTTGTTGTAGGCCGTAAGGCTGAGCTGTTATAGGAGATTTCCGAGCTGATATGCGTGACGACGCATTGTTTGTTTAATGCTATTTTTGGCTGAATGATGTGAGATGTATGCTGTGATGTGTTGTATGTTGATTCATGCTGAACTTAATGATATGCTGATAGTTGTCGCTGTTGATAATTTCTATATATGTTTACATATGTTGATTCTTTTCACTAGCTTACCCTTTGTTGTTTCCATGTAATTTGGACTGCAATGATCATACTGTGTATGAGAGCAGAACAGGGATAGGTTGGTGTGTTGAGGTCGGTCTGCAGCTAGCAGATGGAGTTTCTTTTTGTTATTTTTGGCCATTAGTTTGGCTATTTTGAATGTATTTTGTACATTGAGCCACACGCTAGACATATTGTATATATTTTATTTTTATATATGTATGCTCTATTATGTGTGGTGTTGCGTTGTTTGCTGTGTGACGGCTAGACGAGTCGTTACATAATATAATAATTTTACTTTCACACACTTTTTATTTTGATTTTTATTTTAAGTTTATATAATTGTATTTTTTTAATCATTATTTCATAAAAAATATAGAATTAAATATTTTTTTAAAATTTATGAATTTTTATTTTTAATCATAATTATATATATAATTGATTTTTCATATTTTATTCTTAATTTTATTTTTTATAAACTAAAATTAGGTGAATGTTGACTAATGATTTTTTTTTATCATTTTTAATATTATTTTTTTTATAAGCAAAAGAAATTTAAATTAAAGGGAGTACAAGGGGTACTCCAACCCGTTACAAGAGACACATAGACATAAATAGAATCAAAGCTAGAAAGAAACTATGAGAAATACAAACTCGGGTTATAATACCAACTTGTGTAACTAAAAGAATAACCAGGGACAGAACTATTAATCCACTTCCATGAACGCAATTTAATATTATCCAACACTTCCTTGCAATCTGTAGTACCTTGCTGAAAGATAATGACATTTCGATGAAGCCATAGTGACCAGATAACAGAAACCCAAACCACCTGCAAAAAGTGAGAATGTTTTTTATATATACCAAGATTCGTCCAATATAAATAAAGAGAAATTAAAGAATTGGGAAAGACCACCGCAACCTCCAACCAATTAGCAACAACTAACCAAGTATTAAATGCCATCGGGCACATTAGAAAGAGATGAAGAGGGTCATCAACAAACAGAGAGCAAAAAGAACAAAAATTGTTATCCAACTCCACACCACGTACTTGTAACAATGATTTGCACGAGAACGCATTCAATAACACCTGCCAACAAAACACCAAGCACTTGATCGGAGCCTTACATTTCCAAAGACTTTTTATAACTAGTTGAAAATCCAAAGAGTATCTGAGTTCTCCACCTACCGAGCGTTGTAGCCAAAGGTACGCACTTTTCACCGAGAATACATCGTCCTTATCATAAATCCATCTCCAGTAGTCTTGCCTTGAAGAGATAACCTGCAACCCCTGAAGCATATCCAACAAGGTATTCACACTCCTACCTTCATGAACAAAAGGTTCTCTTCTCCAATTAACATGCCACACCCACGTAGATCCCTCCCAAGTTCCATTATCTGCCACCACTGACAACGGGTCCAAGGCAAAGGAGTACAAACGAGGAAAGACATCCAACAAGCGCACACCACCTATCCACTTATCCTCCCAAAATCGGGTCATAGTGCCATCACCAATACAGCGTTCAGTCTTTTCGTCCAACCAAAAATTCCCTTGTTGTAGCACCCCCACTATATCCTTCCACCACCAAGAGGCCCTCCTATCCACATTTGAGCAATTTGAAAAGGACTCAATACGACCATACCTATCATGAAGAACTTTAGCCCACAACATACCCGGAGAGAGCATGCACCTCCACACCCATTTCCCTAGTAGTGCCCAATTGAACAATTTGACATCTTTGATTCCTAGTCCACCCTCAACCTTTGACTTACACACCGTTTCCCATTTTACCCAAGGAATTTGTGAGCCATCCTTGACACCTCTCCACAAGAAATCACGTTGGATGGCCACAATTTCCTTAATCACCGAGTTTGGAGCTTTAAAAAATGAAAGGAAATGGATGGGCATAGCATTCAAAACCGAATTAATTAAGGTCACTCTCCCCCCAATGGATAAATACTTATGCTTCCATGAGGATAGACGCTTTCATAAGCCATCAAGCATTGGTTTCCAAGTAGACAACTTCCTAGGATTAGCACCAAGAGGTAAGCCCAAATGCTAAAATGGTAGTTGCCCCACCTTGCAATGTAAAAAGGCAGCCGCCAAGTTAGTGAAATTTGCCCCAGAATGAATACCGACCACGCAACTCTTGTGGAAATTAATTTTCATGCCTGAAATTAACTCGAAACAGCGCAAGATGGCCTTTAAGCACCACAGATTCTGCATAGTAGCTTCTCCAATAACCAGAGTATCATCCGCAAACTGTAAAAGAGAAATCGGTGGACCTTCGCCTCCTAAGTGTAATCCCTTAAACAGATTCATCTCTAAAGCCCTACTCATCAACAGTCTTAGGCCTTCCACAACAATTAAGAACATAGATGGTGCCAACGGATCACCCTGCTTTAATCCCCTACCCATAGATACTTCTGTCGTAGGACTCCCATTCACAAGGGTTGATAGGCTTCCCCCACATACACAAGCTTCCATCCATCGAACCCATCTCTCGTGAAAACCACACCCTCGGAGCATGAACAACAGGTAGTCCCATTCCATAGAGTCATATGCCTTCTCATAATCAATCTTCATAACAAAAATTGGCTTCTTATATTTCTGAGCGTAATCAATAGCCTCAGAAGCAACTAGAACACTGTCCAACATATGTCTACCAGGAATAAAAGCAGACTGATTCTCTGAGATGATTGATGGAAGAATATCGCGCAATCTATTCGCCAATACCTTAGAGATAATTTTATACAAGCACCCCAGCAACGAGATAGGACGAAAGTCAATCATACCTTGAGGGCAAGGAACCTTGGGGACCAAAGCCACAAAATAAGATAGAAGAGCCTTTGGAATCTTCAAGTTAGTATGAAACTCAACAAGTAAATCCATCACATCCACCTTTATAAGAGGCCAAAATCTCTTCAAAAAAGCAAAATTGAACCCATCAGGTCCTGGGCTTTTGTCACCGTCACTCTCCCTAATTAAACAACACACCTCCTCCTCAGTAAAGTCACCAACCAACCTTGCATTTTGTTCATTAGACAACACCGGGAAACCAACAAGTGACAATCGAGGTCTAAGCCAACTTCTTGCTTTGAAGTGCTCCTCAAAATATGACCTCACTACTTCTTTAATCTCATAGACCTCCTCTACCATATGCTCACCCATCTTCAAAGCTATAATTTGGTTACGTCGCTATCTTCCCCTGATACAAGCATGAAAGTATTTGGAATTTAAATCACCATATTTCCCCCGACGAATTCGCGCCTTTTGAGCTAGCAAGGTTAGTTTGTTCCTCCGAGCACACCAAATCCCATCTACTAACTTCTTTTGCCTATTCCTTTCTAATTCTACAAGAACGTATTCCTCATTCTTGGCATCCAGCTCCTTTAATTCATTAGTCAAGCTTTTTATCGTGGTATCCACATTACTAAACACCTCAATATTCCATTTCTTTAGATCATTTTTAACATTCAAGAGCTTTACTCGTATTCTTTGGGCAGCCCACGGACCTTGGACCTGTTTCTCCCATGCAGCCCTCACCACACCCTCAATACCACAATGGGAAAGCCAACAATTATTAAAGCGAAACGGTTTAGGACCCCAATTTAGCACCTTATGATTCAAAATCAATGGACAATGATCAGATACATCATGCGGAATCACCTCCACAAATCCTGCACCCCAGTGAGCACTCCAGCTTTCTGAGACCAACACCCTATCCAACCTGCTCATCATAGAACCATCACTCCTAAACCAAGTAAATCGCTTCCCAACCAGTGGTACATCAATCAACTCCATATCTCTTATAAACGAATTAAATTCCTCCATATCCCGTGCACCGTAGTTACCAATCCCCCCTTTTCTCTCATTCAGTCTTCTCACCGTGTTGAAATCCCCCACTATACACCATAAACAACTCCCAAAACCACGCTTAGACATAATTATGTCTTCCCACAACCACCGCTTATCCGCTAGCTGACAAGGAGAATATACATTGACCACCACACATCTATACGCATCCACACCCCATTGCAAGCAAACACCATGAAAACCAGTACCAGAAAACGTGAACACCAATTTACCTCGATTAAAGTTCCAAATTGAAAGCAGACCTCCACTCCTGCCTTGAGAAGGAGAAGCAAACCACTCGAACTCTGTAGATCCCCATAATTGCGCACAAAGGGTACTATCGCACATCTCCAATTCAGACTCCTGTATGACAATAAAATCTAGCGCCTCTAATCGAATAAGCTCCGATATACGACGCCTTTTCACATCACCCCCTAATCCACGACAATTGAATGTACCAACTTTCATTGCATATCTAAGGATCCCCTAATACCAACCGCCACCATACGATCCCTCTGCTCCATGGACATAAGCTTCTGTCGCACCTCGTCTTCATTTCCACGCACCTCCATTCCAAGACTCTTGCAAATAGAGAGAATACGATCGGCCATGGCTTCGTCACAACACCGTTCTACATTCGCAGCTGAATTGACACCGTTAATATCATTTGACTGGACCATCATAGATTTCCCACCACCTACACCAGTCACTGCAGCCAAAGAACCTTCCGTCAATGATACTGAATCGTGAGGTGCTCCTTGGATCTGCATTTTATTTCTGGCTATTTTTAGTGCATTTCTCACATTATTTCTTATAGTAGGCTTATCACATTTGGCTTGAAGGGAGTCTCTGTTAAGCCCAAGAAGGCCATTCTAGGATTCAGACTCCAATTCCTTATCTAGCGATGCAAACCCATCCAGACTTATGTCCTCCATTTTTTTATTAACACCACCAGAAGTCACCACATTTGTAACCTCCACTTCCACCTTTGTTCGCACCCTTCCCTCATCACACTCCACACCACCCCCTCTACTAAACACACCTTCCTTTTCACCAATCACCTTGCTCCTATTGGTAATCAAACCACCATCATCAACCAATGCCACGTATTGGTCAGCACCTACCTCCCTCATCGGGCTCACCATATCATTCTGCGTATTCCCCACTGCCCCATTTTGAATATTCTTAGTAACTTTGTTTCCAACCCCTTCAATTACATTAACACCTTTCATACCCAAATCTGTACTTTTAGCAACTTCCATAGCAGATTCTTTTACCCCTTCCACTATCTGTTCCACCCTTTTCGTAACCCCCTCAATGCAATTCCCACCACTATCATCATTGACAATCCCCTGTGAGACCTCACCACTACTACGTTCTTTGGCCTTCGTCTCTAGTGGCCCTTCCTCCATACCTCTATCCTCCTTAGAGGAATAATTTTCCACATCCTCCAAATCAAGTGACTGATCCACGGAGACATCCTTAGAGGTGCTATCATCACTGGCCCATTCTCTTGTCAAAAATTGTCTTCCATGTTCCTCCACCAAACGCACTGAAAAGCATAAATCATTCACCAACACCCGTGTTTCCTCATTGATCAACGCCTTGTACGTCGTACTCACTTGAATTTGGGCATAATCAAGACGCCTTCTCTGTCGTGTATCCTCATCTACTTGGACGAAATCCCCCATTGAAGATACCATTTTAATGAAAAATTTCTCTGACCATGCATGAAGGGGAATGCCATAGCAACGTACCCATGTCTGATGTCGTACACAGACCATCCTCGGATGCCATTCAACTAACTCATAAAACCACCTCTCCCAGAGCTTTTTATTCAGTGCCACTATATCCTCAAGATTAACACCAGCATCCGATTCCACCAGAACCATATCATCACCCATCGTTGCCACCTTGATATCCAGGAGACCCTCTTGTAGTAAATCTTGACGTATCGTAGCCAACTGGATATGACGATGACGCCGACCCACCAAAGATCACTGACATTCCTCAATTACCTCATCATCAACCGAGAAATGAAGATAAGCCCAAGGCTCCTTTTTTCGCACCCACTCTTTACCCCCCGTAGTTGATACCATCGTATTTCCCTTCGAATCCTTAGCGTTGAACCTCGTCGTTCCTTTTAATTTATCCGCATATGAGACACCATGGTTACGCATTACCCCGCCAGAGACACCTTGCCTATCCACTTGCACCCGAGTGACAACATAACTGTTGCTCCTCACCATCCGAGAGTGACGAGTGAGGTTGACCTTTAACCTCCGTGCTCCAATGACAATAGAGTTGAGACTTCTTTCCAAACCCTCCACATTGCAAACACCAGAGAACCGTACGAACCCAAACCTTCGTCCCTGGTTGTCCCGTTTTTTGGGGATAAACACATCTACTACCTTTCCCCATTTTTGGAAAATTTTCCATAGCACCGAGATCTCTTGATTCTCCGCCACATTAGTGAAGAAGAAAGACGTAGAGTTATTCAAAATTTGTCTCAGGTGTTTTCCAAAGCCTTCTTGAGTACCACCCATTCCCCTTTTTTGAAACCCTAAGAAGAAGAAGAAATAGAGGAAGAGGAGAGTTTACTTACCGGGAAAACAGAACACAGATGGCTACAAGACCGTCCACGTAGAGGGCAGTGGAACGGTGGCCATCAGGACGACGCGAGGTGCTGCCAGTTTTTAAGACGATGTCGTGACCTTCTCGAGCTCGTGCTGAGTGCGGAGTGAGGTGATCGTAATGCAGACAACGGGTAACAGAGGGCTTCCAATGCAGCAGGGCTTGAGTGGAGGTCGCTTGTGCAAGGTCGACGCGAACAGGAAGGGGCTTGGCTACCGTTAACAGCAATGGGCCGACGGCTTTGTAGGGTTTGTGTCTCTCACCGACGGCCAGCGACGGACCACCACCACCCCCGTCGATGTGGAGGCCTGAGGAGATGTTTTGGGCAAGATTCGTAATGGTGAAAGGGCACCGTCTGTTTTGGGTGAGTCATCGATGAAAAATCGAAACTTTCGAAGGAGGGTTTGGGTAGTGATGCTTCAGGAGTGCAACCATGGGCGTGGAACAAAGGCGGCGGATCATTTTTAATATTATTATGATTTATAATGTCATTCTTAAAATTTTTAGTTGTTATGAAAAAAAGATAATAGTAGAGAGAACAAAAAAGATAATATAAAAGAAAGAAAAGAATTCGACTAGTGTGTTGTAGATGGGAGATGACTAATATATTTATAAGTATATATGATAGTTGAATAATTACACAAAGAAAGAAATAATACATAACAAAAATATAAATGATAATATGTACATTGAATATTGACATCCACTAATTAAGTCATATTATTGATATCATTTTTTCTTGAATGTCTAATATTTAGAATGTGCCTTATTAAAACCTTACTTGGAAAAATCTCGTGCGACAAAACCCTTGTTAGAAAAGAATGGCCAAATCCAAGAGGGGGGGTGAATTGGATTCAATGACCCTTTAAAAAATTATCAGAGTTTTTGGATCTTCACTTTCAATTACAAACTTTTCTATGACAGAATTCTCACTTGAAGCACTTCTCAAGACTTGTTATGATAATATGAATGCAATATGCTAACTTGATTACAACATCATGAGGTTCATCAACAATGTTCAATTTACAGATTTAAAACATCAAGAATTACATTCACTTGTTAATCAAATTTTATCTTCCTTAAAACTCAATCAAGAAATTACAAAACAAGAGATAAGGTTGAAGAAGATTGCACAAGTCTTTTATACTGGTTCAGCCACTCCACATGTGACCTACATCCAGTCCTTAATCACCACCTGATTAAGATTTTTCCACTATCTTTAAGCAAGAAGGTTTACAAGCAAACACACATGCATATACTTCACTACTAAAAGATAATCACTTTCTTGACCCCAAGAAAGTACCCCTTGTAGATCCCACTACAAGAACCTTAATCACTTGAGAAACCCTTCTCAAGATTTTCCACAAAGATTCACAAAGAAACAAAAATGAAACGAATTCACCTGGAATTCTTGAACAATTCTTTGTCCTTCTCTTTCAAGAGTATGATGATGATGATGATTTTCACAAGTTCTTTCACAAATGTTTTTCTTCTTGGAATTTCACAAAGAAACCTTTCCAAGATGTCACACAGACTCTCTAAAG